CAGTTTCAATCATGACATGGCACACCGCACGCTTTCAGCATCACTCCAGCCAGCCTTTCCATGGGCCCGATGACCCAAGCAGCCAAGCATCCCAAAGCCACGACCCAAGCGGCCTGCTCAGAACGCCGGTACACGAACGGCCCGAAAAAGATCCCTCCAAAGCTTCTCCCCCCCTTCGAGGGGCTGAAGGTCGATGGCAAGGTGGGGCTGCTGCAGGTCCCCCGCGCTTTGCACCAGCTCCTCAGATTCGTAGGGCCCCAGAACGAAGCTCCCCGTGGTCCTTTCAAGTTTCCTCAAGAGCTTGAATTCCCCCCCAAAAAAAAGGAACCTTGGTTTCACTGTTCTTAGCTAAAGGAAACCAGAGAAGTATCCTCTTGGCATGCCTGCAAATTTAGTGGGCAAGCTTGCTTTCCAGACTCTTAAGCAGGTAGTGACCAGGTTTGGGTTGGCGACTTGGAATAGCACCTTCTGGTTCTGCACAGCTGGGAGGAACAGGGCTGGAACCAGCCTGGAACTCTTTGGGCCCACATTCTCCTGATGCGGCAAACTCTGAGCCTGAACCTTCTGGGGCCGTAGTGGGCTAAGCATGGAGCCCTCAGATTCGAGCAGTCAACATATACGACCCGCTCTCATTTACTGCAGCGAGGAGGATGACATTGGGCACACACACACACACACCAAATTGCAACTCGAGAGCAGGGTAGGCCGACTTGCTGAAGTGAAACGCCAGGGGATACCTTCCTGTCCACTAACATGGAACCCACCAGCAGGTCCTGTTAAAGGAAAATTGTCTTCCAGGACCTCTCAGGCAGGTTCCATGTTATTGGACAGGAGGGTAAGTACACCCCCCCCTCCGGCGGTTTGAAGACAGGCAAAACGGAGAGACTTTTGAGAGGCCAGCTGCAGGTAAGCCACTTGGACTTGAGGGAGAAGAGTTGCACGTGCAGTCTTCCAGCTGCCCCGGGCTTTCCCTTGGTGCCCTTTCTTCCTGGCAGATCGACATCGGTGACATCGGCGTGTCAAGCTCTGGCCGGCTTCAGTTCTAGGGGTTGATTCCCCATGCTTTTCAACCATCGTCCTTTTCAAAAACCAGCTGTTTCCCTGGCTTTTTGAGGGTTTCCTGAAAAGAAGGATCCCTGGAAGAATGGGGAAGGTAGCCCTAGATCAGTGGTAAAATGTTGGGAGCCCCGCTGGCCACTCGGGTTCCCTTTTCAATACTCGTTTTCTGCACGTCCTGCTTTCGCGGCACTCGGCACCGGAAACAAATTTTATCTTGAACCTTCATGTCTATTGAGCACGTCAGGAGCTGGTGGTCAAAATCCCAAGGACCAAAACCGGCTGTCCACATAGGCTCACATTTTGAAAAATCGATGGGTTGCCTGGTAAGTGGAATGAAGCCAATCAAAACCAGTGGAACCCATCTATGTTTCAGCAAACTAACCGATCAACAGGACACCTATAGAAACCAATCCCACCTACCGTCACCTACCGTCATTTGAAAGCATGCAAACCTGCTGGTGCGATAAGCAGGGAATGAGAAGTGGAATGACCCTTATAAACAATCTCCTATGGTTTCCTTTGAGGGAAACCCGGAAGGTTTCATTCCCCAAACCCGATACCCGGAAGGTCCTTCCCCAGACCTGGTCAAGCAGAACGACCCCCAAGAGCGAAATCTCTCGCGGCTTCCTTCCCCCAAGGCCCATCCGGCCTTGCACCCCGCGCCGGCCCGTGGAGCGGTCGCCGGCAGTGCCGCTGACCCCCGGGACCCCAACCACCGGCAGCTTGAAGCCTGCGCGGGTTTATCGACCCGCCTACCCGAGGAGACATGGCGGTTCCGTTTGAAACAAACATAAAACTCGAAAAAGGGCCACTGTTCCAGTGGAACAGGAGCAACCTCCAGAAGGATGCTAAAGCCAATGAAAGCTGACTTTGCCCGTTTGAGACCTGAGCAGAATCATGAGCGAAATCCAGAAAAAGGACCGCCGACTTTTCCAGTTGAAACATGAGCAAAATCCTGAAGAAGGACCCTGGTTTTGCAGGTTGGAAGACCTAGGTTGCACGGTCTTGTCATCACAACCCTGCGTTTGCAGGCGTTTTGGCGATCCTCTTGGAAACAGGCGCAACAGCAAACTCAATCAGACTTCCAGAAGCATCCAGAAGCCAAGTCCATTGGCTGTCAACAGCGTAATTTTGGCATCATCCCAATCCCCCCTAAAATGGACTAGAATGGGTGGTGCACCTACCCCAAAATGGGATTATATTTGGTTTTGACCCACATATCATTCTTGTTCGGGTTGCTCCCGGCTTCTTCCCGCACCTCGCCACTCCCCGATGAGCACTGCCACGTCCTCCGAGCACACGCGCAGCAGGAAGGCCATCTGGTTGGCCCCCAGGGCTGGCACGCTTGTGCCTCAAGTTCTCGGCAAGTTGGCTTGCTGAAAATTCGGACATGCCTCATGTTGACCCCGGAATGATAAAACACAGTCTATAAATATTAATATGGGGGTGTCCCTGGTTTTAGTGGAGGTTTATCACGTTTGAAGGAGAACACGCCCCTATTCATAAGCCGGGGTTGGTTAATATGGGGTCAACATTCATCGGTACTCAACCCATGGGACTGCAAGAAGGGAAGCGGTTGCCAGCTGGCAAGGGATGGAGCATTGTGTTTGAACAACGTCTTGCGCAGGCAGAATGGCCAAAGCAAGACACGACGCCATCCCCGCAAAACCGGCCCGCGGCTTCGCAGGCGGAAGCAGGAAGGGTTGTTGCCCTTTGGACAAGAAATCCCCCTTGGGATGGCAAACGCGCTGAACGTGTCGCTGTCACCAGCTTTTTGGCCTCCGTCTTCCAAACGCGCGTCCGAAGCGGCAAGGGAGTGGGGACTTGACACGTTCCACGCCCCAGCGGCCAGGAGTGAAACAGATCGCCCTATTTCCGGCCTTTTCCTCTGGATGGTCTACAACTGCTGGAATTAGGCTAGGACGTGAAAGGGGAACATCGCCCAATGTCTAATTATAATATTTTTTCAGCTGGAGGTCTAAAACTTAGCTTCTAGAATGCGAAAGGGGACCGGTGTGAGTTCTACTTTGGTATGGGGGAAAAACCAGCCAACACAACACCTGGACAGGCCAAGAGCCAGCGCTCTTGGCATTTCATCCAAGCCGCTGATCTGCCAGTCTTGTGGCAGCTGGCTGGTGGAAATGGAATGCGCCGTCACCTTACATCCGAAGTACAGGGCAGAAAGCGAGTGGAGGTTGGTTTGCGGTTTGCCTCGAATTTGTGGTTTGGATTGGTGATTTGGTGCTTAGGGGGTCGCATTTGTTGTCAGCAAGAACCAGAGGTTCAAATCCCCAAGCCTCCACTCCAAGCTACCAATCGAGGGGTTCTGGAATCATGCAAGCATGCGTCACAATTTAGACCTGTGGCCACCTTTCGTACCTCAATAAATCACAAGTCACCGATCTCACAAGTCTTTTTGCCCACCATTTTTTCATTTTTTTCCAAAATATAGATTTATGTTTTATTTATTAGTTTAGAAGGGACTGACCCTGTTCCCCACCGCATGAGTTTCGTCTTTTTTTGGGTTCAGAAGAGCCTGATTTACTCTGCCCCGTGGCCACGACAGGCTTCCGCCAAGATGCCAGGGGCAGCTCCTGCTTTCCCGCCACCTCTACAAAGCTAAAGGACCTGAAAACGTGGAATCGGTTGCGCGGCTCGGGGAAAAATTCGACTGGTTTCTAGCGGGCTTCTTGGGGGGGATTCGGCTTGTCGCCTGAGCCCTCAGAAAGGACACCGGCAGTTTACGACCCTAGCTGCAAGCAAAACAGAACCATCGGTGCAACATCTCACCTCCCAAAAGGACACCTTTCTGGGCCTATGAGTGGAAGCGGAACAAACCAGGTCTAAAAGACTCAACACCTCAAGAAACACCTGCAAAGGGAAAAAGGACTGAAACCTCTGGGCTATTCTGGGCTGGAAAAGGAGGGGCTGCGGGGCTGCCGCAATTCCAGTCTTCCCCCACAAAATGGGAATACAGGTACTTCAAATGGAATTCCAGTGGTTACCCCAAACTTCATGTTTGACAATGTGGACGTGAGCTCCCGCCCAAACAGGGTTGTAAACGGCTAGGCCATACCGGGTTGAAAACGGCTGGACCATTCGGATGCCACCACAAGGAAAACCACAACCAGAGTGGTCCGTTGTATTAAGCTCCATTTGGTCTCTTCATGTCACACAGTTGGATTTGTCTTCTTTTAAAGGGACCTTTCAAGCCTGTGGTTTTCTTGCTGTTCCCTTGCTCAAGCAAAGGGTGTTTTTCTCGGGGCGACCTTTCAACATTTTTTGTGTTGCAAAGTGGGCACTGGTTCCCCAAAATTTGAGTACCCCGCATGGGAACTGGAGAAAAGAAAGGTGATCATCTTTTGGGGCCACCCAAACTGGGAACCCCAAATAAGGAACCAGGACCGGGTCATTTCGATCAGTCGATTCGCATTGAGTTTGTTTTCTTATTCAACCCCAAGGTAAGAGGCTACCCTTCGTCTACAAACCGAGCCCACTCAGCCGGCTCCAACAACACATTCCACGCGACACAGCCAACGAGCCAAGAGAACGACCCGGCGGCCCATCCTCAGCTCGCTTCGACCTCTCTGCTCACTTTTTTTGCTGAGGCATCGGCTGCCCGGCGCTCAGGCCGTGGGCCACCTGAGGAGCTTTCACAAGAGGATCTTTGGCTCAGTTGTTCAGCGACCCTGGAAAAACGGGAGCCCTTTCTCGGGAAGACCTGGAAGACCATTTTTTGTGGGGCAGCCAACCAAACAAAGAAAGAAAAAGGGGGTTCCACTGGACAACTGAGGAGCTCCCTTGGTTCCAAGAGGATTCTCAGGGGGCACGGGGGTCAGAGGTTCCAAGCTCCCTTGGCCCCAAAAGGATTCATGGGGGACACCCTAAAGGATGTTCCAAGTGGAGGTCGAATTGACTTGTGGGACACTTGGTTCCAAAAGGCGGCCTGAAGGACACCTTGCAGGCTGAGTCTTCCCTTGCTTCCACATGAAAACCTGGGGGTTCCGCCCGCAAGCTTCGGAAAACAAACCCCATCGTCTTCTCATGGGGCCTGGGGGGCGGAGGGGACTCCTCCCCACCGAGGCCCCGTGAGTTTCCAGACTGATCCACCCATCTAGGGCTTGGGGACTATCCCTTACCTTCACCCACTCGGGTCTTGGTTGTGGCTCGTGTATGTGTGTGTGCCTGACTTTTCGGGAAGCCAACCATGGTGAGTTTAACCTGGTTCTCCTTTTGTCTCAACAAAATACCCCAAAGAGGATTCACTCAAAAGACAAACCCACTTTCAGAATGGAGATAAGTTTAGCCATGTTGCACCCCTGGTTTTAGTGGGGGGTGTGAGACTCCTATTCATAAACTGGGGTTGATTAATATTGGCTTCCCAATTAAGATTGAAACGCACAAAATGAAACAAAGCAACCAAAAGGTGGTTCCCCCCCCCACCCAACCCCAAAAAAAAAACAAAAAACGACACACCAAGCAAGACACGCGCCGCGTTTTGGGCCAGTCCACTCGAACGACTCCCGCCTGGGCCATCATCCCCGGCGCCGCGCTATAGCGCCGCAGCCCCCCGGTGGCGCCCTCCAAATTCCCCCGGTGCAGCCATGGCACCACCTCCTGAGAGCGACTCCACTGCAGTGAGAAACAAGATAAAACCGTAGTTGCAAATATAAATAAACATACAACATGGATGAGCAAAGTGAAAAGCAAAATCTACAACATGGATACATATGTACATATATATATATACACCTATACATAACCTTCCGTTCCAAAGTCGGTTTATTTTTTGCGTGTTTTCCGTGAAAGGAGCTGTTTTGCCAGGCGCAGGCTTGTCCAAGCTCATTGAGCAATGCGGCGCCGCACGTGCTCAGGACCTGCACGCACGACTTAATTTCCATTCCGACAAAACAAGCGGAGGGATGATTACCAAGCGACAGGCTGAAACACATAGATTCACCGGTGTCAAAATTCATGGCAGAACACGTGCTTTCACACTAGAAAACACGCTTTCACGCCAATTTCCGAATTTCACGGTATTTTCACAGTGATTTCACGCTACTTTGGCGTGGACCGCGTTCACACCAAAACTGCCATGGCTCATTGCAAGGCGCAAAAAAACAGGCTTCCGCCGCGACAAACAGGCGAGGTGCAAAGGACGTTCAAAAAACAGGCGTGGATTTCCAGGGCATATGTATATATATATGTGTATATATATATATATAATTTACTTTTTTGTGTAAACGCACATGCAGATTCATGTGTTTCTTTTATATATATATATATATATATATACAAACGCACACATGTTCTGTACATGTTGCATTTGTTTTACATATCTATATAAGTGTCCGGCTTGTTTAGCCGTCAACAAGAGGCCTAAATGCCAACTCTCAATTTGGGTTGGTGGTTGCTTCACTTTTGATCCACTCGCCCGCACACACACAAAATATGTCCAGTTTCGAGACCTCCCGGATGCGCGACTTCACGTGGCTCGCTTTGGGCTCCCCAAAGCAACTCATATCGCAACTGATTGTGCGAGGCAATTTTACAAGACATGCAACTCAAGCAAGTGCTGCGCACAATTGTGGTAAATCACAGTCTTGGAATCTGATTTTTGGGCGCAAAGCAAGGTCCTCAACGTTGGACATGTTGATTGAATTGTTATGTTGTTTTTAGGGGAAAGGGATTGCCCGTATGTAAAATGTCACAGCCCAAAGAGCCGACTGATGCAGCAAAATTGGGAACGCCAACTTGTGAGGGCAGGGGTGCCTTGAGGACAAAAGGTTCCCATGCGCATGGGATAAGCAGCGATACGCTCGTGCCAAATGTGCGGAACGTTGGGAATGTTACCAAAGCCTTGCGGGAATTGGACCATGTCCTGCTTGTCCTGATGGGATCTGAGGACCAGTCCCAGAAATGAAGGAACTTGCCAACAAAGTTTAATTGCCGCCAGCTGCAGCAAGTGTCCATGATAAACCCAGCAGCGTTGCAGAATGATTTGCGCCCACTCAACGTATCTCAGCGTCACAGGTGCACTCGGCCAGAGGGAAAACCAATAAGACCCAAGGCACCAAGAAATACGACCAGCAAGTCGGCTGCGAGGGATAAGCTCTGATCCTGCTTCATTTTTGGCCTTCGAACATGCATGCACGTATGTGTCCAAATCTGGGGGGCCCCGATTGAAATGGGCGGGTTCTTTGTAGCTTCCCTTCAAGCCATCAAAAAAGGGGACCCTCTCAACTCAAAAGCGCCCATTGCCAGCATCCTCATTGTTGCTCTGGACCTCCCAAGGCTTGGCGAGAGAGATGTCGAAGAAGTTCCGCCCATCCGGCGCCTGGTCTCTCACCGGGGGCCCCCGAAAGGAACGTGGGTTCGGCCCCTTTCAAGCAGTTGCCCCCCCTTGCTTGGGGCCTCAAGAAGACTCATCAGGTGGTAGCAACAGCTCCGGAACCATGCGCGAAATCTGCTCACCACTTCAAAGCTGATTTGGGCAGAGACGCCATAGTTGCAAACAAAAAGCAGCATACCCAGTATCCACGCATTTATGGGCATCCCTTGTACCTCTCGTTGGCGCCGAGGCAGGCTTGCCAAACCCAAGCTTTCAGCGACCCCGTTCTGTCCCTTTGTTGGCCAAGAAACCGCCTTCGTTGCGCTTTTCACAAACGCGCAAGGGGCCGACCAACCTCAAGCCTTTTCCCAATCATCACAAATTCTTGGCACATCCCCCCCCCTCCCAGGAACCGATTGAAAATATCAACCTCAAAAGGTCGGTTCTTTTGACTTGGCACCAGCGACGGAGCCATGCTCATTGATTTTGCATTCTGTTCCTCATCGGTACGCGGTTTCCTACCCCGTCTAGGTCAGATGGGTGTTGCAAACCGAGCGAGCAAGGAGAACATTGGACAAAATCCCACCCCCTTGTAAAATTTAGGGAATTTGCTGGAATCCCCAAGAAGGTACAAGGTAGGTGGGTAGTTGAGAGCCCTAAAGCTCCTTCAGGTTTCCTAGAGTGCCTTGTGGTTCCTCAGGGAGCCTTAGCGACCAGCCCCCTTAGACATTCCGCAATAAAAACTTCAAACCACGCTTGATCTTGGTGAAACCACTTTATTTGTTTTGCGGTTGATCTTGGTGAAACCACTTTTTCCGTTTCCTTCAGAGGCGTGCCTGGTGAAAGCAACTTGGGCCCATCCCCACGCCAGGCTGCGGGCCCGCACAGGCTCAAGAGCTCCTGCTGCATCTGCCTCTGCTTGCGCTCCGCCAGGGTGAAGAGGCCACGGTACATGCCCCCTGCCAAGCGGCCATGTCCAGACCCCTTGGTAGAGGATCGGCAAGGGATCGGCAAGGAAACCTTCCCATCACTCAATAAACCCAGGGGTGGGAAATCCCAAAGCACCAACTAAGACTTACCTGCAACATGTCCATGTGGAGGTTGGCATCTTTGTGGGTGTGTGCGCCACCTGTCATGTAAAGGTCGCCACGGAGGACCACCATTCTCGCGTGAAGGAAGGAACCCTTGCAATGGCTGTCTAGCATGGCACAGCCAAGATTCGTGAAATCCGCCATACAGCTGCGATGACCATTCCCCTTTCAATCCCCTGCATCAAGCTGTCTTGACCATGGCAAACAAGGCTATCACAACTCCACCCCACCCGCCCCACCCCACCCCAACCCACCCCACCCCTCTTCATGGATCTCGGGCACTTCTCACCTCGCTTCTCATTAAGTTTAACGGAAATCGCCCAAAAGACTTCTGCTTCATGGGCCAACGCGCTGACTTGCGCAGGCTCAAAATGGCTCCGGCCGGCGGCCGGCGGCCGGCGGCCTCCAAACCGGAGCCTTGTGGAGCATTGCATCCACGTTGGAAAACTTGCAGTGTATGGCCCGGTAGCACCGAGCCATTAAAGGAGAATGGAACACTGGACAGGCTCATTCATCCCTTAAACCATTACCACTGATAATTCTGGACCCCCAAGGGGCGCTGTGGGGAGGGAGGGCTATCCCTGATGAACCCCTTCCGCGTGTCCTGGGCATTTCCAGCGATAGCCCCCCCCCAAAGCCCCCTCTAGAGGTCCATGACACTGAATTAGAAGGTCGCTCACTGCGGACACCCGGCCTTTCCCTCACAGGGAGTGCGACACCGGGACCTGCCAGCTGTTCCCCAAGTCATGGCCACCCTCCTGCATGATGGCGCGCTCTGCCAGGTACACAACCTCCCGGAGTGGCAGGGCTTCCAATCCAAATTTCCCTCATTCCCACTCCGGACCCAAACTCAATGACACTTCTGCAGCGAAACATGCATAAGGAGGAGGGAGGAGGGAGGAGGGGTGTTCAAAGGCGCATACCATAATTTTGCATCCGAAGCCCAAATGAAGAGCCCTTGCCTTGTCGACGATGTCTGTGTTGGTCTGATCCCTAGCAAGGGGCGGGCGGCGCTCGTTGACGTAGCGGTTGTTGAAGGGCTGGCGCCAGTTGTTGCCTGGGAGCTGATCAAACGGTCGCTTACAGGGGATGCCCATTGGGAAAACGATCATTCTTTTGACTATGTCCCACTAACATGAAAAAAGATGCCCATGAATATCCATAGTCATTTGGGGGCCGGGAATATTGAAGCCCCACCTGCAATCCGGTGGGTGAGGTCGTGGGGAATGGCGTCAGCACCGTGCATGACTCCCACAACGCCTGCCAAGGTGGCCGCCTGGTTGTCGCAGTCAAAGCCCGCGGCAATGGCAATGCCCACCGTCTTCCTGAAGTCACCTCGGTTGCTTTCTGCTTCCCTGCTAAAAGTTTGACTTTTAGTGGTTTAACGGAAAACCCATGAGTTGGCACAAAGTTGAGGTCCTAACATCCGAGCAAAATTTGCCGTAAAGTCACCATGGCCGTACAAGAAAGCCATTGCGCCCATGGCCCCGTTGATGATGGCACTGACCCCACAGTTCCA